GATGAAGATCGGCGGAAGACTGGGATGGGATACGTACTTGGACATAGTTGCATCACATTGTAAACGAAATCAACCGAAAGCTTGGTTGATGAGGGGCAACACGCGTTTATAGCCTGATTACATGACGTCCCTGGTGGACAGGATCCGCAAGCTCCAAGAGGAGGAGAGAATGAGCCGGGGCACAGAGCTGAAAAAAGTCAGGAATTAAGGATATTGAACGATAGCAGGACCGGAAACTTCACTTATTTGTATAGCTTGTTTCTCTTGAATCACTGGCACTGGGCAACATCCAAGTCCAGGGATGCAGGCAGAGTCTAAATTAGATGGGAATTTTGTTTAAAATTTCCTACTTTCATGTAAATGCTTTAGAACTCTTCTACTTTTTTGTTTTAACGTCTAAAATAATGAGGTTAGCACATTTTGGCATGGAAACAATTCGCGCAGCTTACACTGAGGACAAGGCTCGTTGCAGGACGCCAGTGGAGGGACGAGTGATCCGGGACATACTAAAACAAGAATTTCACAAACTGATTGTCAAAAGGATGGTGGAGCTAACTCACATGGAGCTTGATGCTGGATGAAATTGTCAAGGACATCTTTCTCTTGGCAGCAGATATTCTGAATAAAAAGGAGTAAATGCTATTAAAATAGCAGTCAGTATGTTAAAGACTACTTTGTGACATGTACTTATTCCAGGACATTGAGTGGCCCCAGCTGTTCGTGCACAGTTACAAACTGGTTCCTGCAGCGCTTCACAGGTAGATGTTTGAACTGTCATAGACACGCATATTGCGGAAGATTTGGAGAAGATAGTGTTGGGTGCACACTCCATGCGAGTCCATTCGCCACACGAAGCCCTAGACAGATACAAATTATTTCCCGTGTTATTTAAATAGATAAGAACAAACTCACCCTGATGTTTGAGGGCTGCACTGAATGAAGTAGGCATTACTTTTTGGATCTGGGTGGAGAACTGCTTCTTTCCAATCGCAAGGGGATCC